TAAAGATTTATTTATTCACACAGAACTGGGGTACAGGCCAGAAATGCAGAGGATGAGAGCATTCACCAGAGACAGAGTGGGGAGCAGAACAGGCAGATCGACGAAGTACACTGCTGAGGGGAGCAGCGGGCGGGTCAGGAGAGGTCTGCCGGGCCATGTGGTCACCTCCGGGGCAGGCGGGAATCGAACTCATGCGGAAGTGGCTTAAGCTTCTTAGTGCTGTGCTTTAACCCACTGCGCCACAAGGGAGGGCCCCTGAAATAAATTATTTTTAACAGCAGTCTCCTGATAATTGAAAATGTATAACTCCTTAAAAAGCACTAAAACTTTACTTGCAACATATCTGAGCACCCACCAGACACTAAGCATATCTGTCTGCCGTTAACCTGACCCTATCTTCTCCTTTGGCTTCTGAAGTGTCATTCATTCCCTTACTGCTATTTCTTCTTTGAACACTTACATCTCCATTCTCTTGTTCTTCTCCTTCCATCACTCAAAACATTTCATGATACATCAGAACTCATATTTCTCTTCATCATGAAAACTCTCCCAAAGCAATTCCACCTAATCCCATAACTTTGAGTACCATTCTCTACATCTCTAGTACTAACTGCTGCTGAGCTTCAAGTCCTATTTCCAAAATATAGTTCCGAACATCTACACAACTAAATCATTCCTTATTTTCTCTTCACCCACAAGCCCAAGCCATAACTCATCCTTGAGCAATTGTTACCCACCTTACCTGCACATAAGAATCTACCGGGAAGTTAAAACAAACAAACAAAAAGGTCTAATATAATAATCCTGTGCAATGTCTCTAACACATGCATACAAAATACTTGATTAAATGTCAGAAGCACCCAATAAAAGAGAACTTATCTTTACAAACGTGAATTTTTGTCAAAACAAATCTTCTAAAGTCTTTTAAGTTTCTGATCAGAATCAGCACCTTTATAATGCCATTTCATTTAAAAAAAAAAAAAAAGGAGGGGGACGGGAGAAAACAAAGTTTTTAAGTCCCCTCCAAGATAAACTTAAAAAACTTATATTCAAATTCTTATTCATACCTTTCCCAAATATCACTTGGTATAGGTCTATATAAAGGAAGGAAATAATAGTTATTAAATATATCATTAATTATGGATTCTAGTAAAAACTTGGCCTATTGATGTAGATAACACAAACCAGTGAGTGAAGTCTATTTTGCATCAGGTTATTCAGAGAAACTGGTGAGTCATAAATGGAAAAAAAAACAATGATACATTCAAACAAGCTAATAGGAGACGCCTGTGCAATACAATATAACTTGAAAGTGTCTGCAAATAACACATTCAATTCTGGCCCTCCCTGGTGGCGCAGCGGGTTAAAGCACAGCACTAAGAAGCTATAACCACTTCAGCACAAATTCAATCCCCTCCCCAGACATGACCCACATGGCGTGGCAGACCTCTCCGGACCCGCCCACAGCTCCCCTCAGCAGTGTACATCGTCACTTGGCCTGTTCTTCTCTCCACTCTGTCTCTGGTGAATCCTCTCACCCTCTGCATTTCTGGCCTGTACCCCAGTTCTGTATGCATAAATAAATAAATCTTAAAAAAAAAAAAAAGACATTCAATTCTGCAGTGACAAAATACCTTTGTACTCTTCTTTTGGCACTATTTTGTATTTGAATGTTTTCAAACTAGAATGATAAAGACTTAAACAGCCACTCCCTTCCAAAGTATATGCTTCACTGGTGCCCCTTGCCCACTGATGTTAGCCTGTCTACATAGTTTCTTGAAAAGATAGTAACAATGGCTAATGGTAAGATTTTTTTAGGCTATAAAATCTTGCCATTTTTCCAATTATAAATTTAACACATTTGTTTTTCAGCTTTTTTGGCTAAGATCAAGTGTAAATTTAACACAACAGGATAGCTTAGAATAGAAAAGCCTGAAGCCCCTCCCTGGTGCTGCAATGGATGAGGTCACAGCATTGCAAGCTAGCCACAGCCACTTTCGTGCGAGTTCGATCTCCCCCCAAGAGGTGATCCACATGGCACTGCAGACCTCCTATCTTGCCCACTGCTCCCCTCAGCAGTGTACTTCCTCAATCTGCCTGTTCTGCTCCCCACTCTGTCTGTAGTGATCCCCTCACTGCCCCTGTACCTCTGACCTGTACCCCAGTTCTGTATGTATAAATAATTTTTTTTTTTGAAGCCTGGAATATATCAGAAAAACAAAGAAGAAAGCATTGAAAGACTGTTCATTGTGAGGCAGGCTGAAAGACTATAACACTTCATCAGGTCAGGTTATGAAACATTTGGTTAGAACACGTGAATCATTTTTTGTGGACCCATAGTCTACTACTTTTTATCCCACCTCTCTGGTCACTGTCTGGGATATAATACATTTCAAAAGATCAGCATTAGATCACTTCTTGGAGTACAGGAAGAATAAAACTGGTGTATTGGAAAAATAAAGCAACAGAGGTGGGGACCATGCAGTGGTAAGACCATGCAAGTGGACTAGCTAAAAGATGGAGATGCAATTTCTGTCTCCTTAAATGGTGGATTCTTCTATAAGACCTCAAAACAGGTTACTGGTATTCCCAACTAAGAATTTCAGTGTGAACAGCAGGACATCAAATGGGGATGACTTGGAACTTATTTATCAACTAGAATCAGAGCCATTTGAACCTGAGATAATTTGCTTCTGATTGTGAAGACATTTGTTGATGTTAGGCTACTTAACAGAATGGGCAATTTAGATGCTCTTGCTCACATCAAATGATTCTGTAGTTTGGGGGTAAATATAGGTCTAAAGGAGTTTTCTGAAGAAAATTCTCCTTAATAGTTATTTTTCTCATAGCAAGCAGGGGAACTAAATATTCTGTGGTTAGTAGGGGTGGCAGATTTTTGTTCTCCTACACTACTCAGCTACTTATAAAAAAGATAAAACCTTGCCATTTTCAGCAACATGGATGGACCTAGAGGGTATGGTGCTAAGTAAAATAAGACAAATACATTATTTCACTCATATGTGAACTACAAAAAATCAAAGTAATAATAATGAACAAAGTAAACAAACAAAACTCAAATATAAAAAACAGATGGCATACTTACCAGAGAAGGAGGGAGCTGAGGGCAAGTGGGAGTTCAATCCCCACCCCAGAGGGGTCAACTATGTGGTGAAAGAAGGAAACTATACTTGGTAGTGATTATGGGATGATGACTACAGATATAAAATTATGAAGCTATCTATCAGAAACATATATTAAAACAAGTATTACCTCAATAATAAAAATTATGTAAGAAATATCTCATTGGTCTTGCATTGCAAAATTTTTTAGATAAAATGACTACCAGATATGTATACAACTTCTATATGTTACTGGCTTAGGTGTAGAAATATGTATCCTTATGTATAATTTACTGCAATTGTACATTCTAATTTATCACATTAAATCACCACTGTTTGGGCCCTCCCTGGTGGCGCAGCAGGTTAAAGCACAGCACTGAAAGCTAAAGCCACTTCCGCATGAGTTCAATTTCCACCTGCCCCAGAGGTGACCACATGGCCCGGCAGACCTCTCATGACCCGCCTGCTGCTCCCCTCAGCAGTGTACTTCGTCGATCTGCCTGTTCTGCTCCCCATTCTTTCTCTGGTGAAGCCTCTCACTGCCCCTGCACCTCGCACTGTATCCCAGTTCTGTATGCATAAATAAATAAATCTTTAAAAAAAAAAATCACCACTGTTTGAAAACTGAAATAACTCATAATATTGTAGATAATCAGGAAAAGTCTAAAATTCCTTAAGACAAATCAGAAAGATGTTTATGGCCAGAGGGAAAAAAAATCCCACCACAGACAAAGAATTAAAAAAAGATTCAAAAAGTAATTTACATTAAAGAATCGGCATTAAATAATCACATTAAAGAATTTCTAATCAAAATTTGAAATTAAAAACTATTTTATATGGTGCACAGGAAATGATTTTTCTATTAGTATTCCATAGAAACTGGGAAATTTTTCTCTTAAGTAAAATTCAGAACAGCAAAACCCAGCCACTAATTGCTACCCTTTACTCCACTAAATTACACTTCCTATACATAAAATTAGTAACTTTTCCCTTCCTGTTGAATCCACTTTTTTTGGAAAGCAGAGAAAGAGTATACAAATTCTGACCAAAGATAATTATTTTTGAGCTAAAGTAAGCAAAAGTAATAAAAGATTTGGTTAAAAGCTAGTTCTCCCTCCTTAAAATATACTTTACAACACTAGTGTTGGTTAACTTTGAATATTACTTCTTCAATCACAGTGGCCTCATTCAATCAAAACAAGTCCAGGGAAACTGGAGCAAATAAAAGATAACAGCCTCTTTGTGACATTATGGTTCTACTAAGGTGTTCCTGATTTCTTTCTCATCCTAGATATTCTTCACAAAGAAGGCACTTTCTGTGGTGAAATTTTTTCTACTGGTCACACTGCATGAGTCTGAATCCAGCTCAGTACATTGAGTAGGCAAGCTGCTTAACCTAAGACTTTGTTTTGCTTATAAAAATCAGAACACGTGCTCACAGGGTTATTATAAAAATTTAAAAGATAAAGAGAACGAAGGATTAAATTAATGAATACTGTCATGCTCACTTTATGAAAAGGAACTTCCATTAGGGAAATGTTTCATCTGCTCACAGTGGACTATAATTAAGCATGGGTATAGTCATGAGCTAAACCACCAACGATGGCTATGAGAAACAATTCCATCAAAAAGATACTCAAGGCTCTGTAAGCAGAAACTTAAATCCCTTTCCACCAAGAGACTATAGAACCCTTAAAAAGCAGTTTTTCTTACATTAGTAACATTTTGGAACAATGGAACAAAGTTGATTAACAAATGCAAAATTTATGTTAGAAATAATTTTTTAAAGAAAAATTTATTAAATAACAATTTTAAATATAAAATTTTTATGTGTAAATTATTTCATAACTAATAACTTTCTCACACTATATTCTTTCTTACCTTCACTCATTTGATTAAGGTTGAGCACTTAATGAGGCATTGGAATACAGGGACGAAACAGAACTTCTGAAGGAACTAACATTCTGGTGATAAAAGAGAAATAATAATCATAATAAGTGAAATACAAAATACAGACTTCCAGCTAGTAATGATGTGGGGTAAAAACAGACTATGCTACTGGAACTTAGAAATGCAGTGGGAGGGACCTCCCTGGTGGTGCAATGGATTAGGACACAGCACTGCAAGCAAGCCACAGCCACTTCAGCATGAGTTCGATCCCCAGCCCTGGAGCTGACCCACATGACATGGCAGACCTCTTCTAACCTGCTTGCTGGTTACACTGCTCAGCAGTGTACTTCATTGATCTGCCTATTCTGCTCCCCACTCTGTCTCTGGTGAATCCTCTCACCTCTCCTCTCACCTCTAGCTTATACCCCAGTTCTGTATACATAAATAAATAAATCTTTAAAAAAAAAAATGCAGAGGGAGATAAAGTTGCCATGTAAAACAAGGTGGTCAGCATGGGTTTCCCTGAGAAATTGATATACAAGAAAAGATTCAAAGGGTATGAGGAAAACTGACACAAAGATTTACCTAAGAGAACCGTGTTGTAGGTACAGGGAACAACCAGTCAAGTTCTAAGGCAAAGGCAAGCACAAGCCTATTTGATTTCAAACAATACTATTAATAGCAAAATTGTCTTTTAACAGAATCTCCCTCTTCCCAAAAAAGTCAAAAGAAAAAAACCCACATAACATTCATTCATTCAAAAAACATGTATACAACACACCACATTGAGACACCACTTGCCACGTTAGAGACAAACATCCTTCTATTCTAAAGAAGGGTGTCTAAGGCTGACCACACAGCATTTGTTTTCTGCTTCAGGCTTTTGTGTACAAATAGCACAAGGAGACATCAGTGCCCTACAGACAGCAGTCTGGGGGTTACACCGGTGCTTCTAGCCTCATGTGGGCACAGGATTCTCTATATTGGAGTTTTATTTCTAGGCTTGCACACCTTTGGTAACCTGTGCTGCAGTTGTATCCTTGGCCTGGGTTTAAAGCTGTGGTCTTTGGCCAAGAGAGCCTGAGACATTTGTGGATAAGGACATGTTCATGTTTCCCAAGCAAAGGTGAGAGATGTAGACAAGTTGACTGAGCTTGCAGCTGTGCCCTCTGAGATGTCAGCCCTGACCTTCTTGGGCGTTACAAGTCTTGATAGGCTCAGAATGTATACTCATGGCCTTGGCATTATTAGCCTGCATCTTCCTACTGCTTCTTAGCAAAGCACATGCTTCTGAGGAACACCTTTAAGAAACTCCTAATATGTGACATTTCTGTGCCATTTCTAGAAGTGGCTGTGAATAGTGTGGTTCTTGAACTTGACAATGACTGCGCTAAAATCCATGGCTTTCCAGGTGCCTTGAGCCAAGCGAATACAAAGCAATTTTTTGCATGTGTATAAGACATGTGTTTTTCTTGCTCTTTAGCTTATTGAAAATTACTTTAAAAAAAAAAAGACAACAGAAATTTGACCTCCAAATTGGATGATACTGTATTAAAAGTCTCTCAAAATCAGGTCCTCCTGGTGGCACAGTGGGTTAAAGCACAGCACTAAGAAGTTAAAGCCACTTCAGCGTGAGTTCGATCCCTGCCCAGGTGGTGATCCATATGGGCCACTGCTCCCCTCAGCGGTGTACTTCGTTGATCTGCCTCCTGTTCTCCTATCTTTAGATCACAGTGAATCACCTCTAGAGATACTTTCAAAAGCATGAACAATGTTATTCCTCAAAGGGTGAAAGCATCACCTGTCATTGGAAGTCTAATAACTTTTTAGACTTCCAATAACTTTTACTTTCTCAAGATTCACTTAAATTAGAGAAAAAAGAATGAACACATTCTAACCTTATATTCTTACCTACTTTTTAAGGGAATAATTCTAAAATAACGCATTAGTAGGCTATTTTGTCAGTATTTATAGGCAGGATTTCTCTTCCAATGGTAACATTCACTGTCCTCTTGGGATTGTTCTAAATAAAATGAAAACATACTGTAACATTATTCACCAGCTGGCATTATATTTGCTCACTATGTACTCCATATTTTCAAGGCATACCACTAGGTGAGAAGTATTTTTTCCCTAACTAATATATCAGGCATATCAGAACTAACCTCTGTCATCATGTTTTACCAATGAAATTAACAAACATAAAAACCATGTCAGCAAGGACATGAAAACTTTGACCCAGCAGTTCTACTCTGGTAATATATCCCACAACATGACCTACAATCAATATTATTGTTTCCAATAGAAAAAGATAATAATGACAGTAAAGACTCCATTTCTCATGGGAGAAAGGAGCTATGGTGATGGATCACAGTACCATGTTGGTGGGAGAACTACAGGGAGTATAGGGAGAAAAATCACATACTATCCCCAAATTAACAATGATGTAAGACTCCATATTTCAACCTCCCTTGCATTCCATGACACACTAAGTTCTCACTAACATGATTTGAAATGTTTTGAAGTGGCAGCTTCAAGAGACCTTTGCTACTTCTTGCTGTCACTTGAAATGGGTTGCAATAACTGGAGATCCCACCAGGTCAATGAGGACACTGGCAAAACAGGGTGGAGTAGCAATGGAAAGAACCCAGACAATCAGAAAAGGATTGGGGAAGCATGAAGATAAGCTAGACAGCTCTCTCTCAACTGTAGTATTTGATATATAGATATACACAATTGTCAAAACCCACAGATCTGCCCACTAGTACCTTTGCATTTTCCTGTATTCATTAAGCCTCAAATGAAATAGAATACCATGAGTGCTACACCAGCCTTAGACCACCTCTCTGAACAAGAATGAGATTTTGTTGCTTAACTCATGTTACTGTAGGTTTTCTATCACAAATATACTCTACATATATGTAAAGAATGACAAAGTGGAAATGGTAACATTATGCAGATTATGCTATTTCTTTATTAAGAGTTAGGGACAATAACAAACAAAACAACCTAAGATTCTAACAACACTGGTTGCCTCCACTGATATGGAATGTGCGAAAGGGAAAGAAGAAAATTCACTTTTTGCATTTTTTCATTTTAAACCATGTGAACATATCACCTATTCAAAAACTAAATGTTCTTTTAATCTTATTAAATATTCCATTTATTTGTAAAGTTGTTGGTACAGACAGACTTCAATGATTTCAAGACATATATTGACTTCTATTTAGTTTCAAGATATCCCATACTGAATAAAATAAAGTAAAACTGGGAGGGGGGAGGGGGAGGCAGTGCTGAGAACATTCTTTCAAGAGAAAAAGTCAAGAAAACATTTTAACCAAGAGGAAAAAACTAAACAGCAGTGGGGTCATTCTGCTACTGAAACATACTGTATATCTTTTTCTCACTGTATATCTTTTTTTCATTATCTGCTTTTAGAAAACAAGCAAACACAGCTAAATCAAAAAAGCTAACAAAGCTTTTTCTCTGATTGGCTGAAGGGATCATACAAAAGGCTCTTTTATGCCAAAGGAATATACTCTTAGGTTACCAATAGTAACAAAGTCCATAAATCAGATTAGAAATTGAAATAAAATTGAGATTTCTGAAATATTTATCATATTCACATTAGGCTGGTCTTTTCCTCCCCAATACTGTTATAAAAATATGCATTTATGCTCTGTAATTCTTTTTCATGGTACAGACAACATAACAAAAATCACTCAAAGTCTAACAGATTTAAACAAATTTTAACTTTGTGTTATTAGCCCAAGTCTTGGCTCTCACATACATGTATATTGTGTGTGATTTGTGGATATAATTTATAATCCATTTTCCTATATGATTTATATGTAAATTACAATCAATTTGTATGTTTACTTTAGAAATACCCATATATTTTGGCTTTACATTTTTAAAAGGTAAGAAACTCCTATCAATTGCCCCAATTCTGTACCAGAGGGTAGAGGCTGTTTGCCATCTATTGATCCATCCCAATTACAACCTCTTAAGTAATAAATAATGTAGTTACATCCTCAGGCTGACAGTAGGGCAAGCATCAAACTGTTTCTTAACGAGTATGAAAATCAGTATGAATGAGGTCAGAAAGTTATGTAAAACTTCTCATGCATGTGCAATTAACACACACTAAGGAACAAGTGGAAGGATAGTGCTTACTGCCCCAGAGGGAGAAAATAGGATTCTTACCATCAACAGCCCATGAAATGCCATAACCCAGAAAATAAGTCAGTACGATTCAAACTTTGATTTCTACACAGAACAGTTTGGTTATTGCAGTCCCTCTAAAATCTATGTAAAAACATTTCTTCTTTTGTGATAAGAAGTATCCCTTAAAAGAAAGGGAAATATCCTTGAGAATTCATAAAGAAACAATTCTTGAAAGAAAGTTTGTAACTCTTCATTTTCTACTAAATCAGGCAATAAAACTCAAGCAGGATAGAATAAGTAGCTTGGAAAATAAGCAAGATAACTACAGTGAGAATCAGGTAAATTTTGGTATGATTTAAGTAACTAAGAAGTTGTAAACTAAATCCTTAGATCAAATAATGGAGAAAAAATTTCATTTTTTAAATTCAGAAATAAAACATGGTTTAAGTTTACTTAAATATAAAGGCCAATAAAATTTTAAAAATCTGTAGTTCTGGGCCCGCCCTGGTGGCGCAGCGGATTAAAGCACAGCACTAAGAAACTAAGGCCACTTCAGCATGAGTTGAATCCCTGCCCTGGAAGTTACCCACATGGCACCGCAGACCTCTCCAGACGCGAGGCTCCCCTCAGCAGTGTCCTTCATCAGTTGGCCTGTTCTGCTCCCCACTCTGTCTCTGGTGACTCCTCTCACCACCCTTGCACCTCTGGCCTATACCCCAGTTCTGTATGCATAAATAAATAAATATTTTTAAAAAATTTGTAGTTCTAAAATGTTTTATATTGTAAAACAATGGTGTACCATCTTAAAAATACATGCAATCAAAATGTAACATTTTAATAAGAAGAAATGATAGAACCTCCTGTCAGCTAACAAAGCCAAAACATAAAATTTTCAGGAAAATATTTA